TCGGACTTTTCGTTTACCGAGCACAAGTTCGCCCAAATAAACAGTTATATCGCAACATAAAGTCTCCTGTCTTCGGCCACGTCACGGCTCCGTGACAATATAATAATGCCATCTAACACACAATGATGCCAAGGAAAGTATAAGGGATGTTATGTGAGGTAATTGTTATATACATGTGAAGAAAGAAGAGTGCGTGAAAAGATAACTCGCCGTGGGCAGCAACCAAACCTGCGACTTTTTAATAATGCGCTGGATGCGCTACCATATGATCTACTATGTACGCAGGCTATCCGCCAATCCTCTTTGATGCGTATATATGTGAAATAAATGTGGATGGATATATTTAGGTTGAGAGCGTCCCCCTTGTCCCCCTTAAAACGGGGCGATTACATGTGTACCACCGGGCTCGCAAGAAAATAAGTAAAAGAAAACTTTCTTTTTATGTTTGCCTAATGCCTTTTGTACTTAGATTAATGTAAATTTATGTTCCATCTGTCTGCCTCTTCAGACAGAATGACCTTGTTTTCCCACTATTTTCTTTCTTTATCTCTACATTTCTGCCTCCAATACTCTTACCATCTCTTAGTTGCTTTATTCACGAACGTGCTAGGCTTTCAACGTTTGTCCTTAAAACGGAAAGCCCCATGTAAGATTGTACCCGCACGTATACCTTACTGGATATCACCGAATTCAAGCAGAACACCTTGCATTGTTTCTTTAGCTCCCCCGCAGCATGTACATTGTTGTTCCTCTTTATGGAATATCGCTTTATGACTGTGTGTTCTAAGGCAACCCGACCTCACTTCTAACAGTAAAGCGCTTCCCCTTGCATTATACTAAAACATCTCCCTCCTTATTTCATTCTTGCCTTTTTGGTAATTGCTGTGAGCTGGCTTCTTTTCATTGCTGTCATCTAATTAATCCTGTCCGCCTCTCTGACTTTTCGCTAAATACTTCTTGTTGCTTTATCGCCAACATTGCCAGCCGTATATTTACTGGTGAGCCTTCTAGTTCTTTTTTTTTCTCACTTGTGTCCGCGCTCTTCCTATACAAATACCTAGACACTTTCTCTGCCAATCTACTCTCCTTCATTCTTTTAAGCCGTTCCTTCGAGCTTCCCTTATTTCAAAGGTTGTGCATCCTATATTCCCCTTAACAGCCTCATTTGTCATCTTCCTGTGAACGCCCAAGGCGAGGCGTCCCGCAGTCCTTTGATTTAGATCCATTCCTGATTGCAACTCTGACTTCATGCACACCACTTAGTTCCCAAATGTATGCCCCAAAATCATTTCGCATTTCCACAGACCTCCGTACCCATGTTATCCTCATTACGCTATGTGCTTCATCATTGCCGCATTCGTATTTCTCTTTGCTGCTGATGTTTTTTGTGTACCTTCAAATATCTATCTACCTCATTTAACCATACCCCGAGCAATATGTACTTGCTTACCATCGGTATTTCTTGGCCCTGTATTGAGAATGCCTGGTTCGGTCTCGCAATCATTGAATGCCATCAATCCACATATTGTTGCACAAAAATCTAGTCCTGGAGCCTCGCCTTCTCTTCCGCCTATTTCTTCCAACCAGTGTATATCGTCTTGTCTGTCCGCAAATAGGACGATATTATCTGCATAAGAGAGACCTGGAAGGTTTCGCTTCATCATCACACCAGCCTGTTTGTGTGACAGAATGAATCAAATATTGCTACATTCTAGCACTCTTTCAATCCTAACCATGTACAGCATGAATAACAGCGAAAAAGAAAGACATTATTGTCTCATCACCATGTTGATTTGTACCCCGTCATTGCTACTAATTCCTTCTTATTCTATGCAAACAGTATTTTCTCAATATATTTCTCTGAAAAATCTGAATAAAGCCGTCAGCTATGCCCACTTTCTTCAATATGTCCCACAAAAGTTTCTGGTTAACGTTGCCATAGGCCTCAGTGATGCGTAGACAAGCTATATATGAAGGCCTGTTTTCTATTTTAGGTATTTCTACATATCTAAAATAGAGTCAGCCATCGTCACCTGTTGCCATGGCAGCGAGTAGTCAAAGGTTTATTGATTGATATGTGGAGTTTAACGTCCTAAAACTCCCATATGATTATTAGAGACGCCACAGTGAAGGTCTTCGAAAGTTTCTACCACCTGGTGCTTTTTGACCTGCGCCCAAACCCTAACACATGGACCTACAGCTATCTGGCCTCCATGAAAAATGCAGCCGCTGCTGCCGGGACTTGATCCCCCTAACGGCCGGTGAGCAGCCGAGTACCTTAGGCAGTAGAACACCACGGCGGGGCGAGTTGTGGTAGGTTCAGTTCCTGACTCTGCCGTAGTGGTCTAGTGGCTATGGTACTGAGCTGCTCATCCGTAGGTCGCGGGATCGCATTCCGGCTGCGGCGGCTACATTTTCGATGGAGCCGAAAATGCGGTAGGTTTGTGTGCTCAGATTCGGCTGCACGCGGAAAAACTCCAGGTGGTCGAAATTTCCAAAGCCCTCCACTACAGCGTCTCATTCTCGTGAGCCGCTTAGTTCATTTTTTCTTGATTTTTGTCAACGCTCTTCCTATACCTGCGAAACGCCTGAACGCTTTCCCGATAGACAAACATACTTAAATAAAGAACAGACGCTTCTGTAGGGCCCTGCGGCCTAGCTTTTGCGCTGCTTTTAGCGCCTCGAGTGGCTGGTCAGACTTGATAATCTCTTCGGCATAAATAAAACAACAAAAGTTTTCTTTCTGACACTGTGATTTGAACCCTTACCCTCATGCTCCCAAATAGAGGGTTCCTATCATTCGGCTACACACACATGCTTGTATAGCAGGCGATACATGTGTAGCACATCAAAACCACGTAAAGGTGCCTCTTTGTGCAAAACAAATGCAAAAAGATAACAATTTTTAGTCAGATTTTACTGAGTTTTGTTGCAAAGCAATTAATGCATTCAGCGGCACACGATGTAGAGCGGATATGGAAAATTGCACAAATTAATAAAACTTCTTTTTTGCAAAAAGAATGATGGCAGTCTTCGGTATGCTTTGTCCTCCTGAAGCAGCTATGTCCTCCTGGGGCAGTCTCAACAAAATAGTAAAATCAAGCATGGGTGTGCCATCTAGCGGTTGGTGAGGCCCTTTTTTGCTGGGCCGTGAAAAGGCTCCAGTGGCCACTCTTCATATAGTAAATTTCTTTTTTTCCCTGCACATCTACAATCCTTCACTGTCAGAAACCTGTCTTCCAATCTCATTTTACTCTTCCCTACTTCAAATGGTGGTTTTGGGATGTTACACTCCACATATCAATCAATCAATCAATCAATCAATCAATCAGATTCGGTCCCTGCCGCCGACAAGTCATCTTTCAATCCACTTTTTTTTCTTTACATTTGCATCACAATTATTACATATAACATCCTATCCAATTTCATTCACATCATTGCATGATAGATGTCGTTATTATTGTGTTTAACATGGAAAATGAACCCTTAATTGTACACTGCTTTCCGTCAAGAAGGATGAGGCTGAATATTATGCAACGCGTTTGTTTACATTACTTACAGCTCAGTTAAGGAGCCGAGAATGTATGGTAGGTCGAAAGATTTCTTTGGCCTCCCTCACCACCAACTATCTATCCCTTTCTCTGTCATCGCACCGTGCGGTCTACCAAAATGTGCTTTTTTTTCTGATCCTGTCAGTCATCCCGTTCATACAAGATACGCAGGCGTCCTAATCATAGCGAGAAACAGTGTTCTTAGGCGAGAGAAAAAAGTTGCTTTCACCTGCGTGAAGGGTATCGTGAGGAAATTCGAATGAATTTGTTGCACCGAGAACACACGGCGTATAATTTTATAGGCGTTAATAATGAGGAGACGAGGATTTGTACCGTAACCATTTATTTACACATTCATCAGCCAGCGAACGGTCTAGAGTGAGCTGCACGCTTCACCCCCTTTGTATAGACGGTTTCAAGATGCCAAGCGTTCTACCCAAAAAGACTCTTGGTCATTTTACCAGCCCCTAACATCGAAACTCAAAGCTTGTATTTGAGTTTTTTTTTTCAAGAAAAAGAAGGTCTTTCTTTAGTGTTTCAGATAAAAGGAATGTGTGGACAGTCGAATTCTCTTCGTTTATGTACTGGAAAGGACATTTATTTGAATATATTTTGCCAAATGAGGAAAAGAAGCTTTAGAATATCGGCGGGCTATTTTCTAAAGTTTCTGCCCACCGATGCTACTAGCGCACATCGGTGGACGAAACCGAATGTTATCAAAGGCCCGTGTTAGTAAACAGTAAAAGGCTCTGTATACGTACGAGTGAGTGGACGGGGGAGTGCTTGAGAGCAAACGGCTTGAGAAGGAGCGGCGAAGCACTGCCACTGTCGTGGTACCGGGTGGCTATAATGCGATCTTCTTATCAACACAAACGCTGGCAGCGCAAACGAGTTTCAAACACACTGCATTCAGGTGGTGGCAAGTCACGTTCAAGTCAAGGAGGGGGGTGGCTCCGTTTGCTAGGGGTGAGGATAAGCGCGCACGCCAGTAGTTGTTGCTGACAGCTGCCGATGCCGAAGCGTGACATGGTGGAGGGTCTGGTTGCTGGGGACGCGTGCGACTGCAGCTGTTGCTATGGGAGAGGGTGGTGGACAGATCCCGATGGACGCCTGACATAGCGTGACTAAGAAATGCATTCATATTTAAAAGTCAGAGGAAGCACTCATACGCACGGCTCTGGCTGTTATGTGGCCTGGTATGTGCGTTATATGTGCAGCTGAAAATATGTTTGCTTCTTGTAACTCTTTTTCCCACCTAGGCATGCTGTTTCTCGCTCCGTATGTACCGACTGGTCTACCAACAATCATCCTAATACCTCACCTTTTAAGTGGGAGGGCTGGTCTTCATGGGAGACTCCGGAATGCTTCTTTAACATAGCATCGCTGGAGTGCGCGAATAATTAACCAATGAAGTTGTTCACATTTGGCTACTTACCCAATGCTTTACAGACCGTTTTGAGGACTGAAATGTTTGTCAGTGGACGACTGGAACAGAACTTCACCAGAGCTTCAGAATTCATACCAGACCGTTGGCTACGGGCTAATGGTGGCCGAGCCCCCGAGCTTCTGGAAAACTGGGCGATGCACCCTTTCGCTTCGCTGCCCTTCAGCACTGGTATTCGCATGTGCATTGGAAGACGGATAGCCGAGATGGAGCTCTCTATTCTTGTTGCAAAAGTGAGTAACTTCATAAGGTGGTTGGACACATCACCAAGAATAGAAGTATACTTATAGTTCCTTCCAGTGACTTCTAGTACTGTCTAGCTTCGGTTCCTCCTTGTGTTGTGTCTGCTGTGCAGTTCACTTAAACATGAACCTACACCAAGTCGCCCAGCTTTCAACGCTTGTTCACACCCCATTTTCAGCCTTTATATGTCATCACCACAGAGCTCCTTTTTGCATGATGGTGGTGACGCATTATTTATGTTGCTTTCATTAGTAATATTGTTGCCGATAACTCAATAAAACACGTGAGACTGATTGTAGTTTGTAATAGCAAAACGAAATTTGTCAGTAGTATGCATTCCACCCTCCCCTAGCTGCTGTAATGGAAGCGTCTTCCATAAGCTTTTGTGATCGTGCCAGCACGTGTTGTCACTGTTTCATTGGAGGTTGTTTCTGCAATTCATTGTGTCACGCAGCAAATAGCGTTGATTTTTATGTACTTCACCAAACACTCAACTACAAGAGCATTCACAGAATTCACCTGCGGTATTCATATGAACCCATCCGTTTGTCTTGAACGGGCAGAGTACAAAGAAAGGCTCATTTCGCATCACTTACAGGGTTCCTATATACAGTCAAATTAAAAACCTCTTAAAACAGCTATTTCGTGTCCTCAGCGTCACATATAACAAGCCGATCTACCGTTACATTGTAGGCATTTCGCATTTACAAATCACATCGGAGGGTAAAAGCATGCCTAATGAAAGCATGCTCCCAGAGACACGTGATTTTATAACATTCGCCGTGAGAAAGAGTCCATGAGCACCAAAACGACAACTGAGATGAGCACCAAAACGACAACGGCACCTCCCTCGCACTCGGCCACGGCCGCGCGCCACTCGCCGCCGGTGTGCGCTTTCGAGAGGAGTGCCGTCATAGCCTTGGTAGACATATGGATGCCGACGCGCGCGCCTTCCCTGTGCAGTCGCCATCTGACACTGCACTGGAGCCGCTTGATAGCGCCTCTGACTGGCGTTTGCCACTGTAGTATAGCCATGCAGAAGAATAGTGCAAATGCTGCTCAACGGTGCAGTAGAGCGGAGAAGCTTGACTCATTGGATCCCCAAGTAGTTGCCCGGCAAAATAAATGTGCATGTGCCACATAATAGGTATATCGTATGTCTGTCATTGGAGCAGCTGTAAGCATGATATCTGGAAAGCTAAGAATAATCAGCTGAACCTTTGCTAGCGCTACATATATCCTGGCATAGCTGAGCTAAGCCACTGCCATTTTTTCATCTAAACAACGAAGGATACTGCGGGGAGAGTATCGGCCGTGCGATAGTGAATTTATTTTCGTTGTTCGTCTATATGGCTTTCATTAAAAATTTTTAAAGAAGTGCAATGCGAGTTTTCTATTATATTTGCATTCGTGATGTAATGCTCATGAAAGCTTTCAGCGTACTAAAGTAGAATAGCCTAATGGAACGGAAATGTACAGTTCCACCACAAAGCATTTAGCAGCACAGTCTGTGACGTATAAAAAGTCTTTGTTGGAAGAGTTCAAACTAGAATGCTTTATATTCCACTTTCTAATTCCCTGAATGGCCGTACTGAAAGAGCACAACGTATTCATGAATTATTGAGCATGAATTATGCTCAATAATTCCATGAATACGTTTATCTCCTTACTGAGTCGCGATAAGTTGTTTATTACTCGCGCGCAGATGTACGCGTTTGTTGTGAGAAGTGGGATCTGCGTGGTCGCCTGTGAGTATATTGCCACAGGTTTATTTCTATGTATACGGATTTCACCCGTAAAGACTGTTACCAACGCTCGACGCATTTGTTTATTTATTTACAAATACCTCACAGGCTCCAAGTAGGAGCATTAACGGAGGGGGACTATACAATAGTTATTTGAAAAGAACACAATGCAAACGAAAATAATTCAAAAGCCGCGTTTTATACAATTGCTAAAAGGCTCGATAGCATACACTGTAGTAATATGACAATATTATGCGTTATACATTTTTGAACGGTTCAAGATGTGAGTGTACAATGAATGAACACGAATACAAAATACATGCTTAGGAAATAGTCATATATAGTTAGTATATTATTCCTAAACGCCACGCGATCACGAATGCTTACCACAAAATCAGGAAGGTTATTCCATTGAACTATGGCACGAGCAGGTGTGGAAGCTTTAGATGCTTGGGTGCGGCCGAAATGACGAGCAAAACTAGGCTGATTATGAAGCCTGCAAGATTTGCGATGGGGCTTTGTTAGTGGCAATATAATGAAGGAATGATGACAACAAAAGGGAAGAGCAAGCATCATCGCAGAGTAAGGCACCACGAGATCGGCGCTGGAGCTCCTCCATGTTCCTCGTCCTGTCGATATCTCCAATCTCCCACCTGCCCGTTTGGTTCGCCCAATAAACCTCTTTACATTTGGTGGATCATGCTGGGTAACCATATCGCCTACAACCTGGAACTCCGATCCCGCACCCTGCCGTCGACCATGCAAGTTGACGCTGCCCAACAAACAATACCTCTCGCGGCCGCTACTTGCCCCGGCCCGGTTCATCAGCGAGACCCCCCGATCTTTGCCGGCACCGAAGACCAGGACGCCGAGGACTGGCTGTCGTCATACGAGAAAGTCAGTGGACCCAACAGGTGGGATGACGCTGCTAAGTTAGGCACTGTCAATTTTTATCTCACCGACGTGGCCAAGCTGTGGTATACGAACCACGAAACAGAGTTCGCGAATTGGTCCGCCTTCAAGGAGGCAATATGTGCCGTTTTTGGTCGACCTGCCTTACGGAAGCTACGCGCCAAACAACGTCTGCGCACACGGGCACAGGAGCCTGGTGAAACTTTCACATCACATATAGAAGATGTGATCAATCTCTGCCGGCGCGTCGATGCTTCCATGAGCGAGAGTGCGAAGATACAGCACATTATGAAGGGCGTCGACGATGACGTTTTCTAGATGCTTCTCGCGAAGTCTCCTAGCACTGTGGCAGAAATGGTGACTTTGTGCCAAAGCTATGATGAATTGCTGAGGCAACGAGCTCAGACGCGATGCTCATTCCAGACAATCCAACCAGTGACCGCACTGGACGCTATGACTGACCAGACAAACCTTCTCGCACAAATGAAAGGCTTCGTGCGAGAGGAAGTGGCTCGGCAGCTTTCTCTGCTGCCTTTTGCTCAACGCCAGGAACTCTCGCACCAACAGCCACTGCGAAACCCACCACCATTGGCTCACATGCTCCAACATGTGGTCCAGGAGCAGATTTCCGAGGCTATGCCGGTGTCCTTGCAGCAGCCACCCGTCACCGCACCTCTTACTTACGCTGAGGCACTAAAGCGGCAGCAGCGACACCACCCCCCGCCGTTCCAGGGACTGCCGTATACCTCAGCCCCGACTCAGCCGTCCACCGCCTGGGTTCCTCCCATTGCCAACACAGCCTCGACTCACCCGTCTGCCGCCTGGACTGGTCCCCTCGTTGCCAATACTTGGAGAACGCGTGATAACCGGCCCATTTGTTTTGCGTGCGGCGGCCCTGGCCATATCACCCGTTACTGCCGTCGTCGCGTGCCGGGATACACAGACGCCCGGACACAGAACAGCTTCATGGACGTTTCTCCATGCCGTCTGGAAAATTCTGACCCTTAGTCAAGCTCGTCTTCACGGGAATGTCCGCGTACTATGTCTGGTCGCTCACCTTCACCCCGTCGTCGCTCCCTGTCACCCATGCGTCGTCGGCCAGCTCCTGAACACGAGGGAAACTAACCGCCGCAGTTCAGGAGGCAAGAACTGCGCTGTCGAAATGCTCAAGTCCTCGGACATTGCCATCGAACATTGTCGAAGGTTTTGTAGAAGGTACTCGAGCATATGCTCTAGTGGATACTGGTGCTGCCGTTTCCGTGATAGACGCTAAACTTTGCCGCAAGCTTCGAAAAGTGACGACGCCTCTTAATATGATGTCCTTGCAAACAGCGAATGGGGACCCGGTTCAGCCTGTAGCCGCCTGTAATGTCCGGCTGATGATCGCGGAGGACCACTACACTGTTGAGTTTATTGTCCTTTCGTCATGCTCACACGACATCATACTTGGATGGGATTTTTTATCGCGTAACCATGCCGTTATTGATTGTGCAAGATCGGAGCTTGAACTTTTCCCGTTTTACGGCCAACCAACCAGCCGCATTCAGCCCGCCTTACACAAACTCGTCGTCAAAGAAGGCATTGAAATTCCTCCGACAGCAGCTGTGTTGCTCCCCGTGTTCTGTGACGCCATTTGGAACGAAGCTGCATTCTTTGAGCCATCAAGCCTCTTCCTTAGTAGAAGATCACTTCTTCTGCCTTAATCAACCCTCTATATTTCTGAAGGAAACAGTGCTCTTTGCCTCATCAATCCCCGTCCGTATCCCGTCGAACTGTTTCAAGGTGAATCTCTTGGACACGTGCATGCCATTGATAAAGAACAAATTTTTACCATGCCACCAGACTTTTTTGGTGACTACGACGCCATCAGTGCCCTCAACCCTTCCAATATACGGCCTTGCGAGCTTTTCGATTCATCGATTGACGACGGACTATCGCCATCTGAACGCTCTGAGCTCCTTCAGCTGCTCTACCAGTTTCGTGAATCCTTTGACGTTGATCAACCTACCCTTGGCCGAACTTCCAGTTTTTTCCACTGCATCGACACAGGTTCCAACGCGCCAGAACGACAGCAACCATACCGTGTTTCCGCCGCGGAACGTCAGATTATCACCGAACACAGTTGACGATATGCTCAAGCGCGACGTTATCCGACCTTCCCAAAGTCCATGGGCATCACCTGTCGTTCTTGTTAAGAAGAAGGATGGTACAATTCGCTTCTGCGTTGTTACAGGCGCTTAAATAAGATCACTCGCAAAGACGTATACCCTTTGCCCAGGATTGATGACGCCCTTGATTTCTTACAAGGTGCCGAGTTTTTTTCGTCGTTAGAT